TGGAAGAGGCTGGAAGGGTGTTTTTAGGGATTTAGGTCAGGTTTAGCATGGTGGGTGCACCTTGATCCAAGCACCAGGGCAGGGGGTGGAAGCAGCTGGGAGCTGAGCAGAGGTTGGGCAGAGGGAGCCATGGCAGCTGGGCTTGTTGGGAAGAGCACACCAGGGGCCCAAGAGCTTGTATGGGCTTTAAATGCCTCAGGTACAGACCTCTGGGTCTCCACTGTGACCCCAAAAGTGTCCCTCAGATGCCTCAGGTTCCCTCTGCAGCACCTTGCTTTGGGAGAACTGTGCTGTCAGGTTTAAGGGACACTGATCTCTCAATCCCCATGCCTGGGGTGCTCCTGGAGCCAGGCTTGGTGTGGGCACTGCTCAGAGGGTGCTGGGGAAGGCCCTACTGCTCTTTCTACCCAGATGGCTCAGGAGCAGTGAAAGAGCCCTCATGGATGTAACTCTGGCATATCATGTCCAATGTTTCATTTCTCCTGCCTCCCTCTCTGGTCAGACCTGTGGTCAGGCTCAGGTGACCCTGAGAGCCAGCCAGGCCTCCCACCAGCGAAATGTTGGAGCTGGAACACAAAAATTGATTTGGTCTCTTGGCTTGTCCTGCTTAATGAGGCAGCCTGGAGCTGGGCCACAGCCCAAACCCTGCAGGCTCTGTGGGTGGAGGGCTCAGGGCAGGCTCTGTGGCCTCTGAGGGCTTTCCCTGGGGAGAGGAGTTTGCTTTTCCTGGCAGGAAGCAGGTTTGAGTCATGAAAGCATCTCACAGTAGCATATACTATGTGCTCTACACTGTCATTGGGATCAAGCACATTTGGGAGCACTGGGAAAGATGTTTCATATCCATGAAGGCTCTGCTGTCTCAGGAGAGGTTTTTGGTGACACTGTTGCCTGGTGTTTGTCATGGTCTCCAAAGTCTGGCTTGTCCTGGATACTTGTGAGCGAGGCAGAGCAAGCACAGCAAGTCCCTGCCCTGCCCTGAGCACGAGGGAACCCAGCAGAGGCTCAGGGAAGGCTGGTTAATTAGCTGTATTTTAGCACATTTCATTTTTAGGGGCTTTGATGGCAGCACGGAATTGTGGATCTGTCGCCAAGTTTGGGCTTCAAGTGAATAAATAAATAAATGATAAAGGATCCTTTGGCAGTGATGGACCTGCTGCACTCCCTGTGCATGTTTATGTGGTTTCCCTTCTCCCATCTGTTCCTTCCTCCAGCTCCTCCTCACGGGCTGGCTCTGCACCCCCTTGTGTGGCTGACAGCAATTCCAGGCCTCAGAGAACCATGGAATATCCTGGAAGGGACCCACCAGGATCACTGAGTCCTCACTGAGTGGGTTCCACTTGCTCCAACCATTGACAGGATGGGAACTGAAAAACAGCCTCCAAATATAAAACCTGGCTTTGCTCTGGTAATCCCAGGACAGCAGTCCCAGGCACTTCCCCACTTCCCCTTTTTCTCTGTGCAGGAAATCCCTGGAATTTACTTCATCCCTCTCCTCATTGTTGGCTCTTTCTTCCCTCCTGTGGGAAGCAGGATGAGGATGAGTGTCCTTGTTTCCTCCAAAGCCACCTGTGGAGATGCAGTGCAGGAAAACAGGGAAAGGAAAGAGCTGGAAACAGAGAGAGAGGAATGGAAAAACAAAACAGGGAATGAAGAATTGGCACTGCTGGGGTGGGATAGAGCAGGACTCGATGATCCTTGGGGGTCCCTTCCAACTCAGGGTATTCTGGGACTCACCTCAAAAGACAGAGGAAGACAGGGATTGCAAAAGGCTTCCACAACCATAATGGGAGATCGAGCTGCTCAGAGCTTTCCCTGGGTTCCTACTCCCATTTTCCCTGGGTTCCTACTCCCTTTTCCCCTGTGTTCCTACTCCCTTTTCCCCTGTGTTCCTACTCCCATTTTTCCTATGTTCCTACTCCCATTTTTCCTGTGTTTCTACTCCCATTTTTCCTGCATTTCTACTCCCATTTTCCCTGTGTTTGTACTCCTATTTCCCCTGCATTCTTTGTGTCTTTACTTTCCTTTTTCCCTCTTTTCTTCCTTCCCCCCCTTCCCCTTTTTTTATTTTCTTCATTTTCCCTGTTTTTCTTTTTTTTCCTTTTCTCCATTTATTTCCTTTTTCCTTTTGGGTTTTTACTTTCCTTTTTACTTTTACTTTCTTTGTATCTTTCTTTTTTTCCCTTTTTTTTCTTTTCTTCACCTTTTTTCTTTTTTCTTTTTTTTCCCCCCTTTTTTCCCCTTTCCCCCTTTTCTTTCTGTTTTCCTTTTTCCTTTTTGGTTTTTACTTTCCTTTTCCTTTTCCTTTCTTTGGGTCTTTCCTTCCCCCCCTTTTTCCCTTTTTTTCCCTTTTTTTTTCTTTTCCCCTTTTTTTCCTTGTTTTCCCTTTCCACCTTTCCTTTTTCCTTTTCCTTTTGGGGTTTTATTTTCATTTTTGCTTTTCCTTTTACTTTCTTTGTGTCTTTCCTTTCTATCCCCTTTTTTCTTTTTTTTTTCTTTTCCTTTCCTTTCCCCCCCTTTTTTCCTTTTCCCCTTTTTTCCCTTTTCCTTTCCTTTTTCCTCTTCCTTTTAGGTTTTTACTTTCCTTTTTACTTTTACTTTCTTTGGTTCTTTCCTTTTTTTCCTCTTTTTTTCCCCTTGTTTTTCCTTTTTTCCCTCTTTTTCTCCTTTTTTCTTTTTTCCCCCTTTTTTTGTTTCTTTCCCCCTTTTCCCCCTTTAGTTTCCTTTTTCCTTTTCCTTTTGGCTTTTTACTTTCGTTTTCCTTTTCCTTTCTTTCGGTCTTTCCTTTTCCCCCCTTCTTTTTCCTTTCCCCCCCCCTTTTTCCCTTTTCTTTTTCTTTTTTCCTTCTGAGTTTTTACTTTCCTTTTTTATTTTTGCTTTGAGTTTTTATTTTCCTTTTTGCTTTTCCTTTTCCTTTCTTTGGGTCTTTCCTTTTTATCCCTTTCCCCCCCCCTTTTTTCCCTTTCCCCCTTTACTTACCTTTTTCTTTTTCCTTTTGGGTTTTTACTTTCCTTTTTACTTTTTCCTTTGGGTTTTTATTTTCCTTTTTCCTTTTCCTTTTCCTTTTCCTTTCTTTGGGTCTTTCCTTTTTATCCCTCCCCCCCCCCTTATATCCTTTTCCCCTTTTTTCTTTTTATCCCCTTTCCCCCTTTTTTCCCTTTCCCCCCTTTTTTCCCTTTCCCTCTTTTTTCCCTTCCCCCTTTTTTCCCTTTCCCCCTTTACTTTCCTTTTCCCCTTCCCTTTTGGGTTTTCACTTCCCTTTTCCCTTTTTTTGGCCTTTCCTTTCCTTTTTGCTTGTCTTTTATTCCCTTCCTTTACACCAGATCCTCCAATTGCCGCATTCTTCACTCACAAGAGAGGAATTTGCATTTTCCTGAGCGCTCTCTAAATGCCCACGTGGCATTTTCCTTCTCAGCAGTTCCCTGAAGAGCTCCCTGGTGGTCGATGAATGCGGGAACTTTGTCACACCCTAAAACCCCTCCCCTCCCCTCCCCTCCCCTCCCTCCTCCCCGGTGCTTACTCAGGGAGCGAGGATGGAGTTTGGCGACAGGAAAGTGCTGAGTGAGCAGCTGTGGAGCTGCAATCCCTGGGAAGACGCCTGGTTTTCTTGCAGACTCCTTGTCTGTGTGTGCCCATTCTGGGCACGGTGCCACCCTGGCCTTAATTGCAGCCCCGAGGAAGGGAGGGCCGTGGTTCCCTCCCGGTGCCTCCTCAGTTCACCTGGAAACGGGATGCTGATGGGAAGGGTTGAGGTGGGGAGAGAAGAGGCTGCTGGAAAAGCCTGCCCAGGGTCAGGTCACCTAAAAATGCCTCTTGGCCCCTCTGTGGGGTCAGCCCGAAGCTGTGGAACTCACAGAACCGTGGAATCACTTAGGGTGGAAAAGGCCTTTAAGGTCCTGGAGTCCCACCATCCCCCAGCACTGCCCAGGCCACCACTAAACCCTGTCCCCAAGGGTCACAGCTACCTGGGGCATGTTTTAAATCCCTTCAGGGATGATGACTCCACCGCTGCCCTGGGCAGCTGGGCCAGGGCTGGACAAGCATTTCCAGGAAGAAATTCCTCCTGATGTCCAACCTAAACCTCCCCTGGGGCAGCTTGAGGCCATTTGCTCTTGGTTTTTTGTCTGTTATTGGGGAGCAGACCCTGACCCCCCCCGGCTCCCCTCTCCTGTCAGGGGGTTGCAGAGCCAGAAGGTCCCCCCTGAGCCTCCTCCTCTCCAGGCTGAGCCCCCCCAGCTCCCTCAGCTGCTCCTGCTGCTCCAGCCCCTTCCCCAGCTCCGTTCCCTTCCCTGGAAGGAGCCCTCAATGTCTTTCTTGTTCTGAGGGACTCAAAACTGAACCCAGGATTGGAGGTGCCCCAGCAGTGCCCTCACCAGTGGGACGGGCACTGCCCTGGTCCTGTGCCCACACTATTGCTGGCACAGCCGAGGGGCAATTGGGCTCTTGCCCACCTGGGCACACCTGGGCTCATGTTCAGTGGCTCTCACCAGCACCCCCAGGGCCTTTTCCAACTTTCCAACCACCCTGCCCCAGCCTGGAGCATCCCATGTTGTTGTTGTGACCCAGGGGCAGGACCCAGCACTTGGCCCTGTTGACCCTCACCCCGATGGCCTCAGCCATGGATCCAGCCTGTCCAGATCCCTCTGCAGAGCCCTCCTACCCTCCAGCACACCCACATCCCACCCACCCTGGTGTCATCTGCCAACTGATTCAGGGGGCACTCGATCCCCTCATCCAGGTCATGTCCAGAGGCATCAGATGAATCTTCTCCCGGGAGCTGATGACAAACCCTGTTGTGGGTGGTGGGACAATCACTTGGTTCCTCAGTTCTTTTGCTGGCATTTGAGCTGGTGAACACACCAGAACCAACCACCAGCGGTGGATGAGCCCAGGAAATCCAAGGGGACTCTTTCCTGCCCTCTGCCCTGCAGGTTCTGTGTGGTGTTTTGTTTCTGAGGTGAATTAATATTTGGTTTTGTCTCTCCCTTTCTCTTTGTTTCCAGACAAACGACGCTGCAGGAAATACCTGGAATTGGCTTTACTTCATCCCTCTCATCATCATTGGCTCTTTCTTCATGCTCAACTTGGTGCTGGGCGTCTTATCGGGGTAAGAAGGACACCAATGACTTGTTCGTCCCCACCTGGGTGTGAAAAGGGAAGATGTGTTGGCTTTAGTGGGAAGATGTCATCGGGAGAGCTGGGTGCTACATCCCACTGTGCACTGTCCCTCTTCCCACTTCTCCTACCCTGCTTGCAGTGGGATATTTCTGTAAGACTGTAGAGCCTTAGGGTGGGGAGGAGCTGGTGAATAATCACTAATTGAGATGATTCTGAATCCAGACCCAAGTGTTAAGTGGACTCCCTGGAATTCCACTGACCTGGGCCTGTGCAGCCAACACTCCTGTGTCACCCTGAACCCCCCCCAGGAACCCCCTGTGCCAGGATAATGCTGGAACTGGACATGGAAGTGTGGATAATGCACTTGGTGTAACTGCAGCACAGGGGAAGGGGAAGCTCAAACTAAGGGCAGTTAAAAGATCCCAGGTGTTTTTTGGGCATTTGGTTTTTTGGTGTTGATGTTTTGTGGTTTTTTGGTTTTGTTTGTTAAATCTCTCCCTGTTTAACCAATGTCTGGATTTTGGGGACCCCCTGGTGTCCTGATGTTCAAACCCCAGGGCTCAGCCAAGGTTTTGGTGTTGTTGCATCTGAGTTTTGGGTTTGGACCATTGCAGGAATGGAGCTGCCAAGTCTGCAGCTGAGCTGGAACATCCCCAGCATGTGGGGAAATTTGATCTGGAATTAACAACCCAGCTCATCTCAGTGGTTTGCAGGCTCTCATTTTACACAGCATTTCTTCTCAGATCAAGCAGGTGATTGAGACTCTACAGATGTATAAAGATGTAGATTTTTTTTCTGGCTCTTGGCAGCAGGAGAAGAAAAAAGAGTTGTTGCTGCTGTGTGGTAAAAGCCTTTCAGTGCTCCACCTTTACTCTTCCTTTTTAAAGCTACCAGAGAAGGAAAAGTCTTTTCCAAAGAACATATTAATGCAAAATTGTGTTATTTTGTAATTATTTTCATCCTCAAAGCTGTGGCAGGAGCAGGGAGGCAGCACTGCAGTTGTGTTGAAGGTCTGTGGGTGTGTCCTGCTCTTTGCTGTTGCTACATCCAGGAATAATTGTCCTGATCAATAACTGATCAAAGCCATTCATGGAACATCCTTTTGTTTTGAGAAGGAGATTTCTTGTCTGATTTATGATTGAAAGGGAGCACCCACACCAGTTCTTTAGGTACCTCCTCTTCCCTCTGTCACACTGGGGTCAGCCCACGGTGACTGGGATGATCCATGGGATTTAAAACAAAAGCAGGAGCCTGCAGGCTCCTGTTCCTTCCTGCTGGATTCAAATGTGTTTGGTGTCTGACTCTCCTGAAAGCCTCTTGTTGCTCAGGGCAAAATATGAATATTAGATAAATAGGAATCTTCTCTTAAAAATGCAGCTCTGGGCACCAGCTCTGCCTTTGTTAGTGGTGATGGGGGGAATTTCTCCTTCATGGAGGGAAGCTTTTAATTTCTGTTTTTGGCAGAGGGTTTGATGGCCTTGCCTGGAATAATTCCTGGGGAGAGGCTGAAGGGAATAAACATCCCAGCTCAGGTGTGAGCACAGGGCTCAGCAGGCTCCTGGTGGGCCTGGAGCTACTGGGCAGGGAAGGAAATTGGGTACAAAAAACCCTTCCCTGGGAGGGTGGGGAGGCCCTGGCACAGGTTGCCCAGAGAAGCTGTGACTGCCCCATCCCTGGAAGTGTCCAAGGCCAGGTTGGACGGGGCTTGGAGCAACCTGGGCTGGTGGAAGGTGTCCCTGACCATGGCAGGGGGTGGGATGAGATGATCTTTAATGTCCCTTCCAACCCAAACCATGCTGTGATTCTATATCTGAATGAAATGGTGATGAAAAGGCACCAGGAGGATGGAAGGACCCTCTGAAGACAGAGACTGTTGTCACTGTGTGACAGAATCCCAGAATGTGCTCAGTTGGAAGGAACCCCCAAGGATCATCCAGTCCAACTCCTCCCTCCTGCATGGGACCATCCTCAAGAGTCACACCCTGTGCCTGAGAAGATCAGCCACTTTGATACTGCAGAGACAGTTCTAGTGCATGACAAACAACACCTTTTCCTTTTTATCTTTCAGTGATCCTCATTTTTAATCTATTTTTTCTTGTGTATTTTCCCACTCTAACCAATTATCCCCTGTTAATGTGTGTCCTGTGGCTCCATATTCTGTAGCCAAAAGCCCCAGACAGCACCATAAAAGATGAATTTCTGCTGGAGGTTTTTCTTTACAGAGATTTCTGCACAGAGAAAGGGTCATTGGCCTGTTGACTTCCACGGGGTCCAGTTTCACTCCAGGCCATGGAACCATCCACATCCCAGTGGAAGTGTCAGCAGCAGAGACTCTTGGCAATGCCCCACATTCCTGTTGCAATAAACCCAAGTTGATCTGGGGTTAGGGATTCTACAAATAGCCCATGAACAGGGTGAACTCAGCTGCTTCTTATTTTCATGATCTGTGCACCTCAGCCTTTAATGTCACTGTGCTGGATCCTGGGGGAATACTCTGCTCTCCTCTTCCACATATTCCAGAGAGGGAACAGCAGGGAGAACGAGGGGATGTGACACCCCCAGGAAACAACTGCAAAGCTGAGGTCAGCTCCCCACTTCCCTAAGCTCCTGTGTGATCTTCATTACTGTCCCCTTGCACTGAAACCCTGTTGGAATCATAAAACACCCCGAGCTGGAAGGGACCCACAGGGACCATTGAGTCCAGCTCCTGTTTTCCACTGTTGTTATTTCTGAGCTGTTTTCCCCTGTATATTTGTTCCTCAGTGGGCAAAGAGGAAGCTACAGCTTTCTGAAGCAGATGTGCAATTGCCATCACAGATTATGGCAATTTAATTAATCCCAGAATCACAAAACTGTTTGGCTTGGAAGGGACCTTAAAGCTCATTTCCTTCCACCCCCTGCCATGGGCAGGACACCTTTCACTAGCCCAGGTTGCTCCAAGCCCTGTCCAACCTGGCCTAAATCTGAAATGAGAAGAAGTTATCGAGCTTCCTACTAACACTGGGCTGTAGAGAGCTTTGCCATAAATCTGAAAGAAAATTTCTGTGGTTATTTGTGAACCCATGTCAACAGCCAACAGAAACCTCAAATAACTGGGCTGAGCTCCTGGTTTTCTTTGTTTGAGCAGTGGAGGGAGATGGACTTGGTTGAGATCCCCGGTGTCATCTGCTCACAAAATGTCAAAGAAGAGATGATACTCGTTTTGAAATAAAGAGCAAACAACCTCTCTCCTCTGCTGATTCTTCTGGAATTATAGGGCAGGGCGAGAGCAAATGGCCTCAAGTTGTACCTGGGAGGTTTAGATCAGATATTAGGAAAAATGTTTTCATGGAAAAGGTTGGAAAGTCTTGGAACAGGCTGCCCATGGAAGTGGTGGAGTCAGCACCCCTGGGAGGGTGAAAAAAATCTGTGGATGTGACACTTGAGGCCGTGGTTCAGTGGTGACCATGGGGGTGGTGCTGGTTGACAGTTGAACTCAGTGATCTTAAAGCTCTTTTCCAGCCTCAGTGATTCCGTGATTCTGTGGTCCTGTAATCAAAGCAAAGGCAGGGAAGTGACAGGGAGATGGGGAAGTGCTGGTGAAAACATATCATAAAAATAACCCCCAATCTCAGGCCTCAGTTGCTGTGCCAGAACCCTGAGTACCTGGCTAAAGCTGTAATTAAAAGCATGTTGAGTCCATAATTCAGCTTCCACGGGCCCCTGGTGCTGTACAGCGTGTCCTCCTCGTGTGAGCTCATCAAACCCTGCCAGTGCTCTTGTTCTTGGTTAATAATTAACACCCTCCCAGAACGGCTCTGCTTTCTGCTCCTCTCCCCTCCCTGGGTGAGGGAATATCCAGCCTGAATATCCAGACTTCCCAGTGCTCCAAGGAAACGGGGGGTTGTTGCAAACACCTCATTTCTGGTGGCACAAGGGGGGTGTTGGGCTGTCCATGTCCTTTCAGAAGCTGCAGTGGGTGCTGGGCTGTGCCTGCTCAGCCCAGTGCCAGAGGTGGGCTCTGACTGGGCAAACTGGGAGCAGATCCCCTTTGCCAGGTCGCCCATCACAAGCAAATACAGGCTGGGTTGTTTTCCTGGAGGAACTGAGGGTTTTCCTGGAGCGCTGCAGTGCTCAGAGGGGCACAAGTGAGGTGCAGTCGAGCTCCTAAAATCCAGCAGCTGCCCTTGGTTGGTTGTTTAGGGGAGATTTGGGGCTTCCCAGCAGGCCACAGCATCCCACGTGCTGTGGAGCAGTGGCTTGGTGTCCCTGGAGAGGGATTTTCCTCTCAGTTCCTCCTTTATATTCCCCCCACTTTCTGTTTTCCTTCTCTGGTGCTTCATTCCTCCGTGAGCTGATAAAACCCAACAGTCCTGCAGGAACCAATAGAGCAGAAAAATACAGATTATTTTCTTCTGGGGGAGCTTTCAGTGTGTGCCAGAGCTGATGTGAGAGCTCAGGACCGTGCAGGGCCAGGAGAGCAGAGGCAGGAGCAGAGATTTTTCCCTTTTGACATTATTAACACTCAGAAGGCTTGTTTGCTTCTCCTTGTGAACCATCCATGTGCTGGGAAGCATCTTGGGGTGACTGCCTGAGCCTGACCCCTCCCCAACCCCAGACACACAAAGGAAAAAAGGAAAAGAGAAACGATAAAAACCAAATAATTACAAATTAGGTGAAATTAGGAGATTAGACACTTGGTTGAAGCTCTGCCTAACCATCCACCCACCCACCCTAAAGGATGAACCAGGTTTTGGTCACACTAAAAAGCTGCCCTTAACTTTATTTCTCTGTTTTAACCATGACAATCCATGCTATCCCTGTTCCAGAAAGCTGGGGCACTCCCAGAAACTGAGGTTACATTTTGCCAGGTGCCCAGTTCAGCAGCAGTGAAAATCTTGAGGGGTTTGTATCCATAACACATTTTTCCTGAAACATCTTTTCGTGTTTATTCTTATCAGATTATTTGTGACCCAGGTAGCAATAAAGGGAATAGAGCAATCACAGGGA